TTTTTTTTTTAGATTATACAATATTACAATAGACACTTTATTGAATTTATTCAGTATACTAAAACACTGTATTCTACACTAATCTTCTGTTGTCCTCAGGCTGTCAGGGTGGCTATATTTTACTCAAACCCTCAGCGGCTGGATGTGTATGTTAACAATAATTTGATTGGTCCAACAAATGCTCAGTGGAATACAGACAAAACGGACTACACGCTGCGTGAGCCAACTTCTACAGGTAGAGTACAGCGTGATTATTCATGTTAAACAGCTCCCCCTGCAGGCTAGAAGACCAAAACCTATTTTAAATCCTCTCTATGCTCCTCAGGTCAATATGTTCCAGGTTTCAACTCCAGTCATGGCTCCAACTTTTTTGACCAAGACTACAAAATGATGAACATACTTCTTCGTGGCTCAGAGCCGGTCCAAATCCGCACCTCTCCAGTTCTGTTCCTGGCCTTCAACCTCCCGGCCATGACTGAGGAGGAGTTCTTCGGGGAAAATCTGGTCAACAATCTGGCTGCATTCCTGAAAATACCCCCAAACAAGATTCGAATCACCAAAATCGTCCGTGAGGGAACTAATGCAAGAAGGCGGCGCTCAACAGGACTGACAGTGGAGGTGGAGATCAGGGAGCCTCCTGTCCAGAATTCCACCAGCAACAGCACTGGTTAGACCCGGCATCTATAGTGTGTTAAAAATAAATGATAAATACAGTGTTTAGTCACAATACAATGTCTGAAATTGTATATTTCTATACCATCTGCAGAAGAAGACCAACAGTTTGAGGTCCTGAAGAACATTGCTGATGATCTGGGCCGCGCTGCTGTCTCCGGCAATCTGAGTCAGTCCATCGGCTTCAATGTGTCGTCCCTGGGCGTCATCCCTCCTCCTCCTTCTTCCAGTGACCCATCCTGGAATGATGTAAGATTTTATTTCATATTTTATGATATCAAGCACCGTTTAGAAAGTTGATATTAAAAGGAATATTATGGGTTATTTTCAACTAACCAAACAAAAATGAGTGAGGTAGTGTATGTATATATCAAGCACCGTTTAGAAAGTTGATAATAAAAGGAATATTCTGGGTTATTTTCAACTAATCAAACAAAAATGAGTGAGGTAGTGTGTGTGTGTATATATATATATATATATCACCATTTTTGCTTTTTTTCAAAGAAAATAACACGCATATATACAGTCAAACCAAAAATGATTCAGACACCAGATATAATTTTTGATATTTTTTTACTTGAGGGTGCAGGACACTATAGTTCATTTATGTAAGTGAGGATACCAAAATAAAGTAAACTGTGACACATTATACACAAAAATTCTTCATAAAGTGGACTACAAGTAAAATTGATAAAAAATTTGGGACCAAAATTTATTCAGACACTTTGACCTCATGTTTTGCTTAAGTGTTTTTTCTGTAATTGCTAATGCGACCTTTTTACACCACAGACTGAACAAAATTAAGCATTGCTTGGTAATTGGGTGACCTGAATTGGTATTATCTAATTGTTTACTTAAATTTAACAGCTGACAGCTTTCAACTTAAGTTATCTGACTGTGTTCTGACAGAGTTTAACTCTGAGTTCATATTTTATTTTATTACCATTTTCTAAACTATAGCGAATAAACTGTGATAATGTGAGAAATGTTGAAGGTGTCTGAATAAATTTTGGTTTGACTGTATGTGTGTGTGTGTATGTGTGTTATATACACACATATATATAACCCCTTTGTATTAATTTAAGTAATGTGGCTTACTGGCTTTTCCTCATTTTAACGGTCTCTCTCTGTTAGTTGGCAACTCAGGAAGTGACCCGTGAGGACCAGCAGGTGGAGACGGTCAAGACGGTATCGTCCCTGGTGGTGGTGGTCCAGCCTGTGGCGGGATTGGCCCCCGGGCCCCTCAGTGTGCAGCCCAGCATCATGGCTGTGGACACAGCGGTGAGACAGACACTTCCTGATTTCATTAAGAATACCTGAAACTGTAGTTTTCAGGCAATTACTAGAAAACTGCACCTGGTATCGAACAGAAAGAGCATCTTTGTGCATCTGTTTTCAGGGTGACTGCGTGTCTGTGGGTGTGACGACTCTAACCATGTCAGCTGTGCTCAAAGATACTAATGGAAATCCGGCAGAGGGACTTCAAGGAAACACCACCATCCCATTCAGTGGCTGCTGGGCCAATTACACTGATTTAGCCATCTTTACAAGTGGTGGGTTGCCTTTGTTACACAAATTCAGTTTTTTTGGGGGGGTTGCTGTCAGTTGTTATTACAGTAATTTTTCTCCTTGTACCTCTTTCACAGGTGAGAACTTGAAGTTGGCCTTTTCTCTGAATGAATGGAAGGCTGAGTCCAGATCTTTCACACTCAGAGCAGCTACAACGCCGTCTTCTGTGGTCGTCACCACGGAGGATGATGACAACCCCAGCATCTTTGACTCCAGTCCAGCTGTCTTGTCACAGTCTGTGTATCTGCTCATGCTGCTGAGTGGTCTACTCCTGCTCATGAGACCCTAAATAATCACAACACACAGTACACTCTTATAAATATATTACATTGTCTTCTAATGATTTGTCTTTGTCTATAAACTACTATTGTTTTTCCATATGATCATGATCTGTAAGCCACAACTATAAATTCTGAGCACATTCGCTCATAATAACTGTAGAACAAAAACAACTTTTAACAAAATTAAATATTTAAATCTATTCCTTTTACTTTCAATATTATATATTTATATGCTTTCTTATATGCTTAATACAATTTCAAGTTCTTGCATAGTTTGTTTTTCTATATACTATATAGCACAAGTCAGCATGGAATGAAAGGCACAATTGTCTTTTCTTCCCTACTCTAACATACTGTATATTCAAGTGACAGTAGAGAGAGAATTGATTGGATCAGATTATGAGAGCACATGAATTAAAAAAAAATATATATGCACAGATTATATGAGGTATAATAAACACTGCGATGTTCCATAAAAAAACAATTGTCAGTTTTGATTTCATGGTGATTTTAAATGTCTACAGACAATATCCAAAGCGTATATACGACATGCACAACAGGACAATTCAGTCCTTAAAAACAAAAAACAAAAAACAAAAAAAAAAAACACATGAATATGCATTTAATTCTGACCACATCTCAAATTAGCCTTCTGGCGTGGAAATGACATTTTAAATATTTTTTGGGGAAAAAAAGGCCTATAATTTCATAATATTTTATGTATCCAAAGACAAATAATATTTTTTTCTAAAATTAATAGGCCTATTTCTTTGTTTTATTAACACGACGTCTCTCATTTATCATTAAAACAGTTTATATGTATTATTCAACAATTGGAGGATGCTTTCTTTGTTACAGTTTTTGCCTATTGCTTGAACACTTTTTGCAAAACTTCGGCTCATTGTGTCAAAACTTTACACACAAGCACACAAGACACAACACTGGGAAATAAACCATTCACATCTATGTCGAATTGAAACTCTGCTATCAAAACCTAACAATCCTTTGTCAAAATGTCACTCTGTATGGTTACACTGTGTTTTGTTTAAGGTATAGTAACAAAAGCTTCAAGTTTTGTTACTTTGGTCTAAGCATGTGTCTATAGTGTTCACGCAATAGGCAAAAACTGTAATGTAATAGAAAGAAAGAAAGAAAGTAAGAAAGAAAGAAAGAAAGGAAGAGGACCACTAGAGGGAGATAAAGTCCACAGCGCTCAATCCTCACACTTACACCTGCCGAACTTTGGGGGAAAAAACAGTGTCGTTCACATTCATGATGAGCTTAAAATAAAGAAATTATTTATATAATTATTTATATAAACTTGAAAATGTTTGTCACTTTTCTTTTTTTTAACGATTGTTTCGTATTCTACATAGCAGTTACATCCGTATTTTAAACGCTATGTGGTACCTTGGTTCTAATAAAACCTTACAGCTAAATAAACCAATATAATATAAAACATATACAAAACTTATAAATGTTCTACTGTTAATCGCGCATATCAAAAATGATTCCGACATGGAGGACAGTAGCATCATCTGAAAGCTGGGTAGGTCTTTAAGTCTTGTTGTTTGGATTGAGTTGAGCTAATAATGTCATGACCGTAGGCCTACTTAAGGAGGCAGTTCTTCAGAGGAGCTGCTCAGTCTGCGCTCCTCCACACACACATGTGATGTGTCTGTGTTTTTCCCAAGCAGGTCCTTTTTTTCTTGTGCATTTACAAGATGTGTTCTTATGGAGTCTCGGGGGTATTTTTGACTTTTACGTTACTTTTGCATTTTCTTTGTGTTCACTCAATAAATCCTCTGTTTCCAACCGCATCCAAAGGCACGAAAGTGTCCAAGACTGTTCCTGCTGATGGCCACAGAAGAGCCAAATACGGCAAAAGTACATTGTCAGCATCACCGTTATCAGGAGACGTAAAGTCACAGCGGGCGATCAAGGATGCAACTGAACCTCATGATTACATGATCTCCATCTACAAGACCTTTTCCGCGGCTGAGAAACTGGGACTGAACGCGAGTTTTTTCCGCTCGTCAAAAGCAGCAAACACCATAACGAGTTTTGTGGACGAGGGTCAAGGTTAGTTATTTTTTTCTTATATAATATCAGGTTTAAAATTCGTTATAAATGATTTTTGCTCCGAGTTTCCCTTTTCAACGAGTGTCAGAATAATTACTGTAGCTACTACAGGAGCGTTTGAGAAGAAGGAAAAATACTGTTTCTTATTAGACAAAGTACGAAAAAAAGGAATGAATGGGTGGATTACTGTTTGTCATATAATCCTAATTAAATATTATTAAATAATAAACAAGAATCCACTATCCTTAAATAATAAATAAGAATAGGCTATCAAAACAACTTTTGACAAATGATCCAAACTTTATTTTTACATTCTACCTTTTCATAAAAAAGAGTGAACAAATTTCAGTACGAGACACTTTATTCTCAATTTGTTGCAAAATAATTATATTACAGATGCATTGAGAGAAACCGTCTATAATGAATGTTTTGGCCAAAAAAAAAAAGGAGTATATATATATATATATACGTATATATTGCCATGAATATTACTTTTTTAAATTGTATTGTATCTTTTTAATCTATAACATGAAAACAAAACAAAAAAGCAATCAATCAAGAAGGAAAGAAAGAAATTTCCATCTTCGTTGATTGAAATGTTCTTCTTCTTCGGCATTCACATGTTTTCTCTCTCTATGCCTCTGTAAACTGATTTTGTAAATACTGTACAGCCACTGTCCACTAAAACATTTGTGCTCTTTGTTCCAGATGACCTTTTGAACTCCCCACTGTGGAGGCAGAAATACTTATTCGACGTATCGACTCTTTCTGAAAACGTGGAGCTCTTGGGTGCCGAACTGAGGATATACACAAAGATCTCCGGAAGCTTCCGAGCGTCTGAGATGGGCCCAGTGGAGATACAGCTGCTCTCCTGCCAGTCGCACACTGTCCTTGATTCCAAAACCTTGGATCTGGAGGATGCACATAAACCAAAATGGGAGGTTTTTGACGTATGGGAGGTTTTTAAGGAACGCCAGAGCCACTCCCACGGGACGCGCTTCTGTTTGGAGCTCAAGGCGACGCTAGATAATCCTGAGAGGGAAATCGACTTGCAATATCTTGGATTTCACAGACATGGCCGTCCGCAACTAAAGAAAGCCATATTGGTTGTTTTCACAAGGTCAAAAAAGAGACAGAGCCTTTTCTATGAAAAAAGGGAGAAGATAAAGCTGTGGGGTTTGGATAGTCTTGGGAAGGAGAAAGGACCTCACTCGAAGTCCCGACGGAGAAGACGGACCACTTTACCCAGCCGCCATGGCAAGAGGCACGGCAAAAAGTCCAAATCTAGGTGCAGCAAAAAACCCTTGCATGTGAATTTCAGGGAACTGGGTTGGGACGACTGGATCATCGCTCCCTTGGACTAAGAAATGTTTTCAGTATATTAGAATGGTTTCTGAAGGATCATGTGACACTGAAGACTGGAGTAATGATGCTGAAAATTCAGCTTTGCCATCACAGGAATAAATTACATTTTAAAATATATTAAAACAGAGAACAGTTATTTTAAGTGTAATATTGCTCAGTATTAATTTTTGTATTTTTGATCAAATAAATTCAGCCTTGGTGATTTGTTTCCTCCAAAACATAAAAAAATATCATACAGACCCCAAACTTTTGAATAATAGTGCACCCCAATAAAAGCATGAATAATATCCCCAATAAAGGCATAAATTAATATTAATAAAATCATGTTATATATGCAGTATATTCACAGTGCATTAGTCTTGAGCCTTGAAAGCTGATTTTAGCATTAATACCATTAATGTATACTGTCAAAAATGTATACCTTTAAAGAGCACAACAGCTTGTCAACTGGAGCCATACATTTTAAGAGAAACATTTGAATCTTATCTACTCCATAAAGGTGCATATTATGGGAATACAAATGGTGTACTTTTGAAAAGTACTATGTCACAAGCTAAAGGTAAAGATCCAGTATACACCATGCAAAAATGCTGCAAGTGGTAGATTATTAACAGGAGTGCAGCTCCCAATTCTCATCTTTCTACACCAGTACTGGTCTGAGTTACACAGAACACTAACTGACAAGTGGGACGGGACAGAGTAATTCAAAACTGGGTCTACTCCAGAGAAATATCCGGCACCCTGCTTTCATTTATGCCAACCCGAGATCCAAAGATCCAAGTAATCTGTGTACCTTCCCTGTAAAGAGCTGAAGGGAGATAATTGCAGTGTTTAGCAAAGGTGAAAACGGGGTCAACAGACACTCAGCACAACCTTCCCTGGGTGGCCTGTGTGTCTGCGTGAATAGAGAGGAACATGTACACACACACACACACACACACACACCTATTGGTAAACTGAGAAACAGTTGAACGGCTCTGACCCCGGTACCAAAGTTGCATTCATTCTCTGTCTGGGAAAACACAATTACAAAAACCATGGATGCTAACTTAAGATTAGGCTTGCTTTTACCCCGCGGTCAAAGGTCAAGCATCCTTTTGTCTCTCGCCACTGTGAGCGTTTAACACATCCAGTAAAGAGAGAGGAAGCAATCAATGCTGCAGAACAAGGGAAAGGAATGAGTGTGATGCTATTACACCAGTTCTCTGTCTCTGACACATTGTCAGTCCTCGCTCGCCCGTAAAACACATGAAGATATAAGACACACAGCTGCTGGACAACAATGGACTGGAATGTCGTGTGTCTCTAAAGGACATCTGTGGACGGACCGAATGCTGTGATTCAGTGATGGAAGCAGTGAATGTTATCAACTCACATGCTGCCATTCATTAATCAGCATTTTTTAGTACAGTCGTAAAGGGATAGTTCACCCCAAAATGAACACTGGCATTCTTTACTCATCCTCATGTTGCTTCAAACCCATATTGTTCTTCCAGTTCAATCTCATTAGTAACTGAAGGTATCAATGCATTTAGTTCTACATATGTTTGTGTGTTTGCACAAACACGGAAACATGCATTATTAACATAGTGACAGAATCTAAATCAAACACTGGTGGTGTTGTTTTTGTTTTTATTTGTTGAATATGTGTAACTGTTCATTTTGGAGCTGGTTAACAATACG